CGACCTCGTCACATATTGACGTTTAGTCATGGACTTTCCAGGTCCAGATACAATGTGAAAGGTACTCTGAGTGCGTTTGTTGTTAATCTGGGACGCCGTGTCAAGTTTTCCCTGTTACATGCATTGTCTTCTTTCACAATACACTTCCGTTTTCACAGGAAATTTACCATTTATATACAGTCTCTTTCAAAATAAAAGCACTGCTTTCATTCATGTCCCACCATGTTTCCTCCTGACGCCTGAGCACCATTAAACTCTAACGGCACCCAGCCGTGTATCATGCCGATGTTTAAGGATGGCTTTTTTGTCGGTTTCTGACGCCACAAGTTATTGTAGCGCAGGATTTCTACGACTTCGGAGTGAGACCAGGTTGGGTTCAGCACATCTTGTCGCGAATCTAGAGCCACGCTTGCTTGCTGTTAGGACATGGTGTTAGGCCTATATATTTGGTGAAGAAAATGATTTCACCAGACATCGTGACCAGAGAGATTTAAATATGTCAGACTTCAGATTTTCCTGGTCAAAAGCTGAATAACAAAAACACTGAGCACAGCAGGGCTGATGCTGCTTGTTGTGTGAAACAGACAGAGTGACGTGAGGAGAAGGTGGATGGTGGGTTATTGCACCATCTCTCTGTAAGATATAATAACTGACTCCGAACAGAACACTGCTTTGCACTTTATGACCTGCCTGACCAAACCCGCAATATTTTCTAACAAGCTTACCCAAACCGCCCGAGCCCTCAGCCCGTGGCTCGACCCGCACATCACTAATAGGTCCAGTACAGCAGAGGGGTTCACTGTTGGTTAGGCCGCCAGTTCGTTGGGATCAGTTTCTGATTAAAAAGCCACTTTTTTGTGTCTCAGTCTTCAGACTTTACTCCAAGTGCTCCTAATTGGAAAGTGCACAGACACTGAGTCACTGCCCCTCTTCATCCACTAGACTCTAATTTCTGTTTGTCAGCTTCCTGTAACTGATCCCAGCCCATTTTCTGATTTGTATCGCCATGTTGTGCTGTTTCAGAGCTGCTGCACTATAAAACACATTCCTTATAACAGTCCTGAAGAGATCCACAGCCCTCACTGACCAACAATCAATCCGTGAATCATAATTGTCCCCAAAATGTCCACAGACACATAAACACATAAACATCAAATCACATAAGTACAAACACATTATCATCATTATCGTGTGATGAATACATCACCGCTCACTCACACATACCTTCTTCTCGCTATCTCTTCTCTCACACAGACACTCACACACACTCACACAGCGCTGTGCACAACCTGGTGGAGTGTTTTTTCAATGCCATATTAATATTTATGACCAGTTTTAACGGCTGTGGCTTTTACAGCCGGGCTCTCAGCGCTCTGCACTTTATTAATATCATAAGGACAATGTCAGCAGAGCCCTTAAAGAGGGTTATGGGTATGACGGAGAATGTGTGTGTGTGTGTGTGTGTGTTAGTGTGTTAGTGTGCACATATATGTGTGTGTGTGTGTGTGTGTGTGTGTGTGTGTGTGTGCATAGGTAGGTCTTTTAAAAAAGCTTGGTGTGAACGGTGTGTGTGTGTGTGTGCACAGGTGTGTTAAGTAGTGTGTAGTGTGGAGACGTGTGTATGTATAAAGGCTATTGAAATAAAAGAGCAGCGTGTGTGTGAGCAGAATACGCTTGTGTCAGCTGTCTCTCTCCTTCTCTCAATTTTAAATTCTCTGATAGATAGATAGATAGATAGATAGATAGATAGATAGATGCAGTCTGTAGAAGTGTGTGTGTGAGGTCTGCTCTTCTATAAATAGGAACAGAAATATTGATCCTTCTCAGGCCTGCTTGACTTTCCCCTCGTATTGAAACTCAGTCTGGTGCAGTGTGTGTGTGTGTGTGTGTTGTGTGTGTGTTGTCGTGTGCCTTAGATACTATGAGATCCCAATCTCTCACCAGACGAAGGGTGCATGCCAGGGGGAAAAGTTGCCAACAAGCCATTACAGAGCTGCCGCAGGGAGTCCAGTGTCACAGCCAGACACACACACACACACACACACACACACATGGATGAATGAGATATTGGTCAAGTTGAATGCAGGGGTATAGATCTGTGGCTGAGCTATCAAGTAAAGGGCAGAAGGGAAGGACAAAAGATTTTTTTGGTGTAAACACTTGAGCGAAACTTTCTTGGCTTAGTTTGGTTGTGTTTTATTTTCTTATTTTGATTTATCTTCTCTTTAATTTCATTATTTTTTTCTACTTTGCAGTTTGTGTAATTCCAGAGAACAATTTAAGAAATACATTCTACACTATACTACTACTACTACTGATAATAATAACTACAATAATATTATTTTTGTGCTGCTTTTTGTGTGAATTAGCCCTGTAAACCAAATCCAGGGTAAAACTATCTTTATGAAACAACACACTCTCTTCATCTAAAGAATCATGACTGCTTCCATTTGTTCCTCTAACAAACTTCTGTCTTCTATCTTTTGCTCTTCTCTGTCATTTCTCATCTCATATCTGTCCACTGACCAGTCTGTTGGTGATGGAGGCTTCAGATGTGCACTCTTTTGTTTTGGTATTTTTATTCATTTTTGCTTTATTTTTCCCCCACAGACTTAAAAATATATTAATTATTAAACTCAAACACTCATATAAAAAGTTTAGTTTGAGGTGATGAGAACATAGACAGTGAAATATCCATGTATTCCCAGTAGCCCAGTGGTTCCGGTGCTCCATGCTATCACATTATCGTACACTGTGTTGAGTAACAGCTGAAGGCAGTAACATTTAATATTTGTATATTTTTATATTTATTATTTATTTAAATGATGTAGTTTAGTGCTGAAGACACAAAGTGTTGTACACTGTAAAATCTGATGAAGTGATTTTACTTAAAAATATCTAGGAAACTGGTTACTTTGAAAAAGCTAAGTAGACAGACTATTAGTCTTATGATGTGTTTTCTTTATCAGAAAATTTTACCTTTGCCATATTTTTTTGTAAAATCAACTTGTCAGATTTTACAGTGTTGATGGACATACTTTTGTGTACCATGGTGCAGGGGTGGACGATATATCGAATAAACTCAAAGTATTGCAGCTCGTTCCATGTGGGATATATAGAATTAGTGTATCCTGAACATTGAGTATAAATTGCCACGTAGTTCTAGTTTTTCTTTAAAGCCACTCACTTCAGCGTTCCGGTTCTCTCTCTCTCTCCAGTGGCTCAAAATGTCACACTATGTCACACACACTCCTCCACCCATCTGATCCACTTTGTCCTGAGCAGTAATGTGTGAGCAGGCGCAGCGTGTGTCTTATCCGCGGGGCTCCTGACCACTACTATTCAGTCCCAGTTTGCAACCATGGAGCACCTCTTCGACTACCAACTATTATTAATGAATAAATTGGAAAGCTGTTAGTTTGTTTCCAGCACACAGTGAATAAATCCTATGTTTAATGTCACTGTGGTAACAGTTTAACAATAGTGTAAGCAGATAGAGCAAGTGTATTTTGTATCTGCGGGGCTCCAGACCGCGACTATTTAGTCACATTTTGTGACCATGGAGCACCTCTGCGACCAGCAAATACTATTAATATATGAACTGGTGAACTGTTCGTTTGTTTCCAGCTTATAGTGAGTAAATATTTATGCTGAAAGGTGCTGCAGTAACGCATAACTTCCTGCTAACTGCTGACATCAAACTGTTGACTGGAAGCTTCAAGTTCACAGAAACAACACTTTTGGCCCGAGATGACTCAGGTGCATCAATTTAAAAGCACCAGTGGTTCTGCTGGGATTTATGTAGTTATAACAACATTTATTCATTCATATTATAACAGCATTTTATTTAACTTTATTATAACAGTACTTTCTTAAACTTTATCATGGCACTAGCTACTTTATTTAACTTTATCTTAACTGTAGTTCATTTAATATTTTTGCATTTGAGTAGTCTACAGTAGTTAAGAGTAGATTTCAAAATAGCCTAAAAATACTGCAATATTATTTGTAAGCCATATCGCCCAGCCCTGCTATGGTCATAAATAAATATATATCTCTTTTGAACTGCAATAGATTACTTTCCACCACCTCAAACTCAAAATGGTTTGTGATGGCAAACTGGATGAATACTTCTTTTTTTTTTTACCTGACTTTTCATTTTTGCTAATTTTGAAGTTTGCAGATTTTCAGTGTATGTTTAAAACCACTGATACTGTTTTAGTGCCGTCATGTTATTGCCCTCATTTGAATAATACAAATCATACTATTAACTGCTGTTACTCAGTATAGTGTTTGATAAAGCATTAGCTTGGAGCATAAGAGTGAATGATGGATGCTTATGATGTCTATCTTTTCATCAAAGTTAACGAACAGGCCAATCTCCAGTGGAAAAAAGTGCAATTTTTTGGGTGACTGAAACGATCATTTCACAAGCCATAGAGCACCTTATTACCTCTAATTTATTTGATTGACTGCTGACCATGTCACAGCTGATTTACAGAGGAGGATTTCAGCCAAGTCTTGCCTGTAAAATCTTCTCTAGATGGTGTGATGAGCCTCCAAACGGATTCTTCTTGGAACAATAGTAGACTAAAATAGACAAACATATTGACCTGACTGGCAGCATAGAAAATCTCAGCGCATGGCCACACAACGAGATAGACACGCTGTCAAACTGTCAGACTGACAGGCAACCACTCAGCGTCTGTAAAAGCTTTATGAGACAAATCCAGAGGGACAAAGTTGATAGACAGCAGAATATTTCACAGGTTTTCTTATGAGGACACATAAACAGACAAATAGACACAGATGCACAGGTTGAGCAGGTGGATCAGAAGAGCAACTAAAACACATGAAGATAAAACATGTAGCCTGTTAGTTTAAAATGTTTACGAGTCAGAGACAGTTTTTCATTCAAACCATGAACTAATCCAATGTGTTTGTCCTTCTTCTGGGTTTTGCTCTGTTGTCATCATCGGCCTCACCTCACCATGCTTCAGAAGACATGCTTATTCCTACTCTTATTACCTGTAAGTAGAGATTTCACATCAGGAATAACTCCTTTTCTCAACCCATTATTTGTTCCGTATGACAAGCTTCTGATTTCTGTTAACATTTTTTCTTGTTTTCCTGCATCCTGTTTGACTTGTGTCATATTTAATCCCATAATGAATTTGAGGACATACACCATTGCCTCTCCAAAATATTCAAAACCCTAAAGACGCTGACAACATGCTGACAGAAAAACTTCCTCTGGCCATAATAGAATTCACATTTCACCTGTTTGTTTACGTTGCCAGCCAACTAGATATTTGCAGTGCATGATAAAAGGTCTGCAGGACTACCTGCCAAAGACAAACTTTGACTTGATGCCTGGTAGACAAACTCAGCAGCCTGCAGGCACAATAAGCCATTTGGCAGGTGGCAATAAATAATAATTCTGAGAGAATATAAATTCATTTCAGTGGTACAGCATAGCCCACACTGTTGTGCTGTAAAACTAGAAGCATCAACACTTTCAGCAGCTTGCATTGGATAAACTGATCTGGCGGCCACCGCCATTGTTCTACCAAATATGGTACCCATAACTGTTTTCAAATCAGTGCTAGCTTACATACATTTAATTAAGTCCATATCACATCCAATCACCAGAATAAATTGGCATTGTTCATTTCCACAAGCCACAGATATATTGCATTTGTATGTTATTATGTCATGATTCTACAGAAACTTTATGTTTCTTTATGTTGCAACAGTGCTGTTGTTAACATGTTGTTAGGTTTTGGCGCAAAAAACACTTAGTTATGGTTAGAAAAATGTTTGGCATAAATATGCAGTTTTAATGCCACAATCCTTCCTGCAAATGCAGCAATGATCACGTTATTCAGTCAGAGGTGTAAGAAGTGGTGTGTTTCACGAGTTTCTTATTACAATAGCTCTATGAAAGAGGATTGGTGTACGGTTATCTTATCATTACCATTGGAAAACGCAGATTCCCATCGAAAGTTGTGCTCGTAATTCATACAAGGAATCATGGGGGCTGATTCTCTAGAGCAACTTTTAAAAACTTCCCATTGAAGTTTAGCAAATATGCAGGGAGCAATTGGTTAGCCAAGAAAATGTACTGAATCCTGTGTCCCAAAAGTCACATCTTAGACCTTGCAAATATCATCACCAAGTTACACACACCCACTATTAGTGACAGATCATTTCTGTTGGAGGAGTTGCTGGATAAATTCTCTCAAGGACAATTTAGCAGTAGTTTTTAGTAAAGGACTGTGTTTCTGAAACTTTCCGTGCAGATTTTTGAAACTCTAGATGTGACAGAGACACGTCACATTATCAGACACGCACCGTGTAGCAAAGCACTCCTCTAATTGATGAGTGCACGGAGTATATTGGCTGGCTGAAGGTTCTCTGGACAGGGACATGTGATTTAACTCCAGTATTAGTTTGGTGGTGAAGGCGAATTTTCAGTCTGACTTCATCTGCATTGTTTGCACGGTCCGTCTCTTAAAGTGTCTCACCCTAAAAGGTCAATGTAATTCACTGTTATCTTCTCCACCAAGTGGCCATTTCCTGCTTATTAACCAATTCTAATGAAGAGCTATTATAGCTGTCTCTTCATACATGCACAAGCACGTACAGGCTCACACACTTACAAATACACACCCCGGCAAAGTTGCACAAACACAGACATGCTGTTGCCCCGAGCTCACCTACAAATCCCTGCAGAGTATTTCTGAAAATCCCTGCTTCTCCAGCTGTCTTCAAAGCATCTGAAAATTTACTCCAAATCTGCAGCAGAGTCCTAACTGAGCAGAACAGTCATCACATGCCACCACTTCTTCTTAAAACAGCCACCCTGAGGCTGTTTGACCCAACCAGAAATTACTTCTTTACACCCAGAAACTGACACAATTAGAAAGGTGGCAGCCGTCACTGCGGGTTTGCTGCTTTTCCACTCTCTCCGCAGTGTTTAATTTGTTTCGGCAGAAAAAAATGAAGACGCACTGCTTATTGACTTTCAATGCGCCTACTTTGCACACACATACACACCAACACATAAAAAAAGATATATTCAGAATCATAAACACTAACACATATACCTCAAGTACCAAACGTACAACACACACACAGAGGCAAAGCTGCTGGTAGCTGGTGCTGTTGGGAGGCATGTTTCTTCACTGTTTCTACGTAGATTCCAAAAAATAATGTGTTTATATTCAAAAACTGAATATTGGCTGTTATATCAACATTAGATATTTTCATTTTTCTAATTTTAGCTAATCATTTTGTGTTCAAATATCAATGTTGGTACCAGCGTCAAAAGTCTAGCAATGTTTAGACTCTGGTTCCTTAAAAAACAAAATCATAGAAAATAGAAAACAAGGTTACAAAGTGCAATACAGCAGTGTTAATGAACAAAACCCTTTTTACACAGAAGTCACTACAAAGTCCCCTCATTAAGCCACATTTGATTTTTTACACAGAACCAAACACCATGATCGCCAGTGTATGATTTTAGATAGCAGACCAGCCTTACCATGTTAAAAAGGGCATGACTGGCCTGACGTTTGCCACCATAACATCAGCCTGTTGTGTGAGATATAACACACGTGTCAGCAGCACTTTCTAAAGAATAAGAGGCATAATATGGCAATAACAATCATTTACCGTCCCCAGTATATAGCCATCGATCACGCCCTCATTGTGTCCTGATTTTGTGAAAGCTGCCGCTGTTCTTCTTCGAGTTAGCTGCTAACGACTTCTAGCTGTGTTTTGAATCTCCTGGCAGTGGGCTGCACACATAACATGTCGTCAAAACATCACACCCATCCAGTTCATGGTCCCATCCTGCCAGTCGTCCCTTTTAAGCCCATTTCAGACCAAAGATTCACAACAAGACGAAACAGTTTTATAATGTTGCAGAGAAAAGTTGCAGCGGTGTGAACTGGCTGGTCTGAGCTCAACTCAAGCCGGCTGATGGTGTCACCTGCACCTGGTTTTAGAATGTAAAACACATCTCCTGTTTCTACATCCAGTCAGCTTTTAGTGAAGTCCGCTGGTCAAGTCAATATGACCACAGGCGGCGTGTTCACTCGCTGCTGCAGGTGCTCCGTCCCCACCAAGTTCTCTGCTTCCCTCAGATGGCGGGTCGCTGCTGCAGCTCGCTTTATGTGCATATACTTAGTTGGTGCTGGTTATTTATATTACGTATCTCATTATCGCTGTACTCATTCATATTTTCAGAAGCTACAAATTATATTCAGCCACAGAATAAATCTGAAAAGCTGGAAATCAGAACAGAAGCACAGAGTTGTTGCATAGAGATGATACACCATCTCATCTAGTTGCATTGCTGTGAAACAGCAGATTTTTAGAATGCAAGTAGTCGTCTGTTTCAACTTATCTCGTTGCGAATCTTTGGTCTGAATTGGGCTTTACACAGATGTTGATCGGTGCTGTTACTACCTCTGCTGCCAGCATTGAGGCGAGACAATTCTGTCTTCCCCCGTTCCATGATAGTACAATTTATAAAGACAAGCCGTGCGACAGAGGGGAAGGTACGAAGCAGAGACACAAATACGTGTTTCATATTATAAAAACAAATGTGTCCTAAATCATTATTTAAAATTAAAAAGGAAAATAAAAATCAATGAGTTCTGTTTTTTTCTTAAGATCTGAAAGAAAAACAAAGCACACACACACAGTCAGAAATTATAACACAAAATAGCAGCTACACGCACACACATGTACAGACACACACGCGCGCACACACACACACACACACACACACACACACATGTACATACACACAGCCCAAGGATGTTTACTGTCAGATGAGAGAGGGATTTAAAGTTGTGCACGACTCCTGCAGTGTGTGTGTGTGTGTGTGTGTGTGTGTGTGTGTAGCTATACTCTCTCTCTCTCTCTCTCTCTCTCTCTCTCTCTTCACCCCTCTGTATCCCTCAATCTCTCCCTCCCTCGCTGGGTCGGCCTCTAAATCCTGTGATACGCAGATGAAAGTTTGTTTGGGCTTCGCCTGCAGCCTCCTCTGGAGCAAACGCTGTCATCCTGAAGTGACTGACTGCCTGTCTGACTGCAGCGCTGGCTGGGGATGGCTCAGGGATATTTGCGCTATCTAGCTGCCATTTGACTGGCTGAGGCCGTTCCAGCCATATACGGGAAGTCTGTCACTCCCTCGACTAGTGAGACAAATGTCGCTCCCCCTGTTTGATTGGACGCCTTGAGGTTGCCCCGTTAACTCGCCGGACTTCTGCTGAAATAAATGCAGTGCCCTCTGTGCAACCACTTTTTAAGATGAGAATACTGGTAACCGATAATGACGGTCGCAGCTTACAGCAACTTAGTAGAGTATAGTCTCTGGCTTTTGTCTGATATTTAATGTCTGTAAAATATGTTAGTTTAGTTTGTACACATTAGCTCAGAGTGCTTAAGGGGCTTGTTTGCTATATTGAGTAAATGTTGATGTCACCCTGATGATTCATATTAAATGGCCAAATCCGGTTTGACTGACACAATTTTGAGTCATCCATAGTGTCGACAGCATTTAAATAACTGATGGCACAAATGTCTTCTATGACTCTTTAACAGGTTGCATTCTTGGGCTCTTGAGAAATATTATTATAACCATGTTAAATAAATCAAACAGCTTTTCTTTGTTTCCTTTGTTAAAGATACACTACGCAGTTTTCACTTATTTTCCTGCAGACACTCTTCCCTCTGCTTGTGTTCTTTTTCTTATTTTTTGTCTTCAGGACGTTCATATGCGTGTACCCCAACAGTGCTCAAGTAAGGTAGCGACCAGGTGCCAGACCATGCAGCACTCATCCAAGAGATAAAGCACCAAAACATAGCGAGGCAAAACACCAAACAAGAGTGAATCTGGGGTTGGTTTTTACTTTCACTTTCACTGGCAAGCAAGAACTGACAATACTGCATAGTATACCCTTCAATTGCAATCTACCGCCCAAGAATTTGTAAACAATAAAGTTTGTGTATACGA